GGCCGGATTTCTCCACCAAATCAAGCCGAAGACCGAAGTCCTCTGCAAATATCGGTCCAAATTCAGTGGTCATCTCTGACGGTGAATGTCAACACGATCCCTCGTAGCTGATGCTTCTGTCTGCATTATTAAGAACGACCCCGCACAACGATTTGCCATGACCACCGAGGACGGTTCCCGGAAACGCAGACGCCCAGCCCAGTCCTGCGAGCAATGCCGCCATCGAAAAGTGCGCTGCGACCGCAACATTCCGTGTGGCCCTTGCACACGCGCACGATCTGTTCTTCATTGCTCTTATCGTGATAAAAGTCCATCGCCAAACTCAGCTGACGTAGAAAATATCGATACCTCGGGCACTGCTCAGCATCCAGTCACGGAGGGCTTCAATCAGAGACCACCGGACCGCCTAATCCCAACAGACCTCGGGGATACGAATCTTCAATCCAAAGGGGAATTGCCTTTCCGGGAAATTCGGCATCGACTACAGGCACTTGAAGATCGATTGACCGCTCTAGCGAGGAGCTCCCAGTTGCCCCGAGATGATCGGGGGCTGGAACGGGCATTGCATGACCTCACCGAGAAAACACGCAACATCGAGCAACAGCTTACCGCTACGTCACGGCACGTCCGGACAACACATGAAGATAATGATTTGACCGTCAGCGATATTCCGCGGCGCCTTCAAGTGGCGGCTGGCAAGTCGAAGCTCCTCGGCCCTACTCATTGGATTCATAAGGTAGACGGGGTATGACACACTCGTTTCTACTTTTACAGTGCGAGAAACTAACCAAGTTGCAGCTTCAAGTTGTTGAGTCTTTCAGTGCTAAAGAATCTGAAGCTTCTTTCAAAGAGCTGAAATCGGATCTGACAAATATGGTCAAAGAATGTAGGGTTCTTCGGAAATCCATCAAGTCTCACAGGGCCGTGACATTTGATGACCCTGTTCCTGATCTCCGTACCACTATTCCGCCACAGCCAGTGTGTGATGAGCTGGTTCAATGCTATCTACGCACCTTCGAGCCAATCTATCGTGTACTGCACATCCCGTCTTTCTGGGAAAGTTATAGAATATTCTGGACAGAGGGCCAAAGCTCCCCCATGTCCTTTCTGATGAAGCTAGTATTGATTCTTGCCATTGGTACTGCTTTCTATCCGGATCGTACTGGCGGAATTGATAATCGGTTCACGCGCCTCAACCCAAAATGGGTGTTCGCAGCTCAGTGGTGGCTTACAGGGCCTTCGGAAGAGACAACAGCCAGTCTAGATGGATTGCAAGTATTCTGCCTGTTACTAACAGCGCGAAAGGTCTGCCACTTGAGGACGTCATATGTGCTTTCCACGAATTCGCTTATCGAGATGACAATGCGATTGGGAGTTCACATTGACCCTTCCAATTTCCCTAATTTATCTGCATTTGAGTCTGAGATGCGCGTCCGCCTCTGGGCAACTGTTCGCGAAATGGCCCTACAATCAGCTTTGGAGTCAGGTCTGCTCTGCCGTCTTCCCCCGGGATCTAATCCGAGACCGCCATCCAACCTTGACGACCGGGATATTGGCCCTGATATAAACCAAGTTCCTTCCGCAAAGCCGCATACGCAGTGGACAGATACGTCTTTTCTGTCATTTCTTCAATGTTCAGTCGAACTTCGCATGGAAGTTGTTCAGTTTGTGACCACTCCGGGGGAGAAGTCCTATCAAGAGGCTTTGCGGCTCACTGCAGATATGAGACAAGCTTGGCGTAAATTGGCCAGTTTTGCCCAGCCTTGTACAGCATCATCATCAGTCCATGGCTTACGGCCCACAGAGTTCCACAAACGATTCCTGGATATGGAGTTCCGCAGATACATCATGGCCCTACATGCGCCATTCGTGGTGCAAGCTCGAAAGGACCCCCGCTTCTACTACTCTCGCAAAGCCTCTCTCGAGTCTGCAATGGTCATTGCATCCTATGCTAATAGCTTGGATCTACCGGTAATTCCGGCGGATGATTTTTCCAAGATGATTCTCGCTGGTACTGGCAGCTTCAAGGGTCCCTTAGGGCTGGACATTCTCTCGGTCCTTGGCCTCGAGATCGTCACTCAATTAGAGGAGGCATACTCTGAGCAGTCCTTTTTAGACCCTGAGGAGGAAATTGCCAAGGCTGCTCGTGCTCCTATTGTTCGGATTCTTCAACATATTCTCGGCCAGCTCCTTCAGATCATTTCGTTGGGAAGTCCCAGCTTGAAACAATATATTTTTCTCGTGGCGGTATTGGCTCAGATTCGTGCTATGGAGTCGAACCAATGCATAAAGCGAGTTGTTTACGAGACCTTAAAGCATGGTTTACAAGAGTGCTGCTCGTTGTTGCAGTTAAATGTGGCTAGCATACCTGGTAATGCGACGGCGGGAGTGCCAGCTGGCACAGCTGTTGAAACTACCCTTGGCTTGCCTGATCCAACTCTCTCTCAGTTTGTTTTACAGCCAGCGGTAAGCTTTTTGCTCCCCGAGATGAGTTCCTGAAAGGAACAATTGTTTCTAAATTTCAAGTAGGACCCTGCATTCGATCTCGACCTCGCCAGCCTTTTGTATTTCGAAGATATTAGTGATCCCAGCAATCCTTACTTGTGAAATGAGCAGTGCCTAAAACCTGGATTCATGCTGCGGTAGATCAAATTCTGCCTTTTTTTAATTCTTAATTATGTCTTTCATTATCCACGACTCCTCTACTGTGATGAGCTCCCCAGTGGACTTTGCGTCTGAGTCCATGCTCCAATAAAGAAAGAAGACTAAGGAGGTGAACGAGGCGAAACGTCTGGGGCTGATAATAGATTGGCCCGGAATTTCATACCCTGATCAATTATCCAGCATATGTATTATTTCCGCCCAATGATTTCCAGGGCTGTTGGACCATTGGGCTGACTCAAGAATATGGTGGCATTGCCCCAGAGCCTTTTTTGCTGTTGAGGAAATATCATGTTTCATAAGCTTAGGATAATGCCCAGTGCCGTTAAAGGTAGATTAATATTATATTAGCTGATACTAGGATGTAAATGGATATAGATAAATGATAGAGCCACCTTCTCACAGTAGTGGCAAGGTATTGACTAGTTATATTAGATCTTTCATTATTAGCATTCAGTGCACGCTACAGCTGGTCTATAGTATCTCATCAGAGGGTTCCCCCTGCTATCTATAAATATAAGGATGAGAGTTTTAGAACTAATGTAATTAAAGGGAATAACACTAAGAAGATAGGGCTGCTAATAGTTAAAGTTTAGATAAAGTAAGTTAGAATAAGACTTTTTAAAGGATACTAAGTAGATACCTATACCAGGTAATTATAGCTTATTAAATAGCACTGTTTAAGGAGTATCTCTATTATTATCACCCTTAGCTAGAGTGCATAATAACCTCTATGGTGTGCCTTTTGCGGCCCTCTGTTTTAGAAGGATTCTTTAGGGGCCCTTCTACCTTACTGTAAGTAAGCACTAACAGGGGCTATAGGGATTCATCTATCCATAATCATGGCGGCCCTGCAGCCGCACACTTGGAGCAATGGCCATTGTCCAATTAGTCCAACAAAAATACCGCGAGACCAATTTGCTTAATTACTCTGGTTGGTTTTCATTAAAAATGTTAGCGTGGTAGTTGTATCTAGTTGTCATCTGTCATATTGGATGATGTAACTATTCTGTTAAGGCTAGCTATCCAAATTGAGATAAATCTTGCTAGAGTTGAAAGGAATGGCGATGATTGTTGCTGCTACTCCTATACCATATTATTAATGCAAGACAGTCCAGAAAGCATAAAGAAAAAGTACAAAAACCAATTACCAGGTACCATCCAAAGAACATCCTCTCGCGCTAGTAATGGTCTGCATTGCTAGACGCCTTCCGCTAAGACCAATGAGCCATTATTATTTGCTAATGAAGATGTTGATTAACCCACTTTAGGCCACCTACTACGCGTCCTTCTAGGTAATTACTTCCTGCCTGGTAAGACCTACTTCTGGACTATCTGCCTAGTAAACAGTCTACTCCCATCTCCTATCTCTTTATCCTATTTGCCAATCTCATCTATGTCCTTGATATTCATGTCCAGGATCTAGCCTCTATGGCACAGTGGAGTGCATGGGAACAGGATGGCCGTCCAGCGGCCCAGCCTTCCACGGGCGGTCCAGCCCAGCGCCGTAGTGGTACTAGTGGCAAACTGTTCCGGCGGGATGGTATCCAATGACATCGCGCAATTTTACCAACAGTGAACAAAATGGATCAATAATAGCTTGCATGAGTCGCGTTCAAGAGGACAGTAACAGGTTCTGTATCAACAGTAGCCAATACAGAACAGTACAGCGTCGTCAAATGATCTGACTGTTGTGACCTTTCCTTTTTGATCAATGATGCAACTTAATATGTTGGGGAGGGTGCTCAGATTGACAAAGCACAATAGATGTGCGTACAGTCTCGAACTGCATAAATGATTCCAATGCCTCTAAGGAACAGTTCTTTTACAGGGTTGAACGACAGACTCAAGCTTCCTATGGCCAGTCATAGAATGGTGCTGCGGCCCTTGCTTTCATTCTTTTCTAATCATTTTTGCGGCGGCTGGCGCTTGTTGAGGATAGTTAACTAAGTGTGGGTGGCTGAGTCAGGCTTCCGACCGCTGGCTGGTGTAACTACCACGTGTCACTCATATTCATTCTTTGTCTGTGAACAGCAACGACTAGGAGCCGATGGGCTACACCAATTGATATATAACTAGTCTTCTTCACAAGGATGGACCTGCTTCTATTCAGAAGGATCAGAGGACATTGCCTATGTGGCGAACGGGATAAAGGTCGACCGGATGCCAAGCCAGCCATCCAATCTGTGTGCTACCTTTTCGCACTATACAGGGATTAAGAAGTACCCCTCCCGGGTTTCAAGAGATAGTTCCTCGATGATGTTCTCAGACTCTCATTGTCATCTACCTGTCGTTCAGTTCTCCTCCTCACTACCCCCCATGAACACCGGCTCTACACGATGAATGCCCCCCTCTATCGCCGCCGCCGACCTGCCGTTGCGTGTATCGAATGTCGTCGACGCAAAGTGAAATGTGATCGTGCATTGCCCTGTGGCCCATGTGGCAATGCCTCCCTGCTGTGTGGTTATCGTAATTCCAATAATGGATTGACCCCGACCGATCCCCGCGCTGGCCCGACGGCCACCGATCTGTCTACCTCTACTACATCCGAGGAGGATGGTACTCAGAATGGGGCTGTATCTAGCTCTCCCATCAACCTCACCTCGTCAAGCAGCGGTAGTGCCGGTCTACCACCTCTCTTCCCCTTCGCGTCAAGGTACACCTTCCCCGGGGATATGGGGATGAACGAGAACGAGCCTGCGGACCTCCCCGGGCGCACAGTATCCCACGCCAAGAGCTTGGGTTGTGGCAAGCATTACATCCAGTCGTCATTTGGACAGGTGAGCCAACGCGTTTCCTAAGTCAAGTCTTCACGGGCAGACTCCTCTGCTGATAATAGATGCTAGTCAGAGCATTGGAACTTTTTGCTGCACAGGTCGGACCATGCGGACATCCAATCGCTCTGGGAGCAATGCACCCATTACGCCCGGATCATCAAGTCAGAGCGATCCTTCAAGTATTACACCCAGCTAGGCCCACCGAACATCACGAACAATCTGCTGCCCAAGTCGACCTGTGACCGCCTGGTCATGCTCTACCTGCACACCTTCGAATCAGTCTTTCGGGTGCTTCATATTCCGACCTTCATGCAACAGTATGAGCTGTACTGGAACAACCCGCAGGGTGCCAGCGGAGCTTTCCCATCCACCGTCGCTCTTGTCCTGGCCATCGGGGCTTGCTTCGTCTCGGAGGCTGACGCGGACGAGCTTCAGCTGTTGGCGCCCAAGTGGATCGCTGGTGCGCAGTTTTGGCTCACCGAGAGCTTTGAAAAGTTTGGCATTGATCTGTCCGTGCTGCAGGTCTCCGCCTTGCTGCTGTTGGCGCGCCAAACAGTCCCTGACCCGTCCGAGCTAGTCTGGATCTCAGGGGACTTTCCCCTGCGCATCGCCGTCGGACTCGGCCTGCACAAGGAGGCGCGAATCCATTTCCCGGAGTTTTCGCCCCTTGAGAGCGAGATGCGGAAGCGCCTGTGGGCTACCATTCTGGAGATGTCGATACAGTCATCTCTGGATACAGGCATGCCGCCGTCCATCTCCAATGATGATTTCGACAGCGAGCCGCCATCCAACATCGATGATGTCGATGCCAGCAATCTATCCATGGCGGCAGATATCGCAGATGGCTTTACCCAAAGCACCATTCAGCGGATGCTGATGCACACTATGCCGGTGCGGCTGCAGATCCTCCGTTATTGCAATGCCCTCAAAAAGGCTCCGGGCCAGGATTACCAGTGGGTCATGAAACTGGGTATGCAGCTGGATACCATGTGCCATTCTCATACCGCGACGCTCCAGTCGTATCAGAGAAATACCAGCCCCGACACGCCGAAGCCCACTGAATTCCAGATTCACCTCCTGAACATGTTGACTCGTCGTTTTCTCCTGGCGTTGCATTCGCCGTTTGCGGTGGAAGCCAAAGCGAACCAGTCCTTCTACTTTAGTCGCAAAGTGCTCACCGAGAATGCACTCGCTTGCCTCTCCCCTCTGCAGTTGGTCCCGCAGGCACCGTTCCCCGGGGGCTCCTTACCCGAGGACCAGCAGCACGAGCTCCTGAGGTTGAAGGTGCGTGGGGGTGACATCATTCGGCACATGCTGTGCCATGCCACAGCCATTCTCATCGTCGAACTGACCACTGAGTTGGAGGAAAATGCCTTTCCAATCATGCACAGCCTTTCGCGTGACCTATTCTTCCATGCCATCGAAGAGGAAAATGCCTTTCCAATCATGCACAGCCTTTCGCGGGACCTATTCTTCCATGCCATCGAAGAGTCGATGGCTATCTTCCGGCGACGAATTCAGGCCGGGGAGACCAGTGTCGACATCTTTGTCCTGTTCTCCTGTGCCATGGCACAAGCCAAGGTGATGAAAGCCGGACTGGCCCCCCAGCGACAAACCGTTGAACCTGTCAAAGATAGTTTAAACTTCTGCTGTGAACTACTCAAATTTCAAGCTCAAGTCAGCGCGGTCAGTTCTCTAGGATTGACACAAGGTCTGCAAGTAGCATTGGAGAGTGATCTTGGGGCTTCAAACTTGTGGGATAGCATGGTATGAAACTTTTTTTTTTTTTTTCTTCTTCTTCTTTCTTATTTTAGAAAGAAGATCCACTTCCTACCTTCGATCCTGTCCTCAACAACTGTCATGAATTATGTCATTTGAATATAGTGATTGTTTAGATATGGGCGATGCCAAGAACAAAAACAAAAATAAAGAAAAAATGGATATAGAAGAGAAAGCAAGCGCCCTCCCGCCCGAATGAATATATCCAAGTATATATGAGACATTTTCGAAAACCTATCGGAGCCCCATCTAGGCCTGTAGACTCATTCCAAGGAAGCTTTCAGCCTCGCTTCCAGCAAGGTCGCCTGCGCCCCTGTCACGGGCTGCGCCTCGAAAGAGCCGTACCCCTGCGCCTCAATCCCGTCGGGGAGCTCTCTTTCCTGAATCGCCTCGATCACAATCGGCAGGTCCTGCAGCATGGGGCCGCCCCGGAGGTGGGGGAACTGTTTCTGGAACGCGATGATATCGCCACCATGGCTGCCGCCCACGTCCACGAGTAGGACATCGGACTCGAGGGCCACCCCGCCCAGTTTCTCCTCTACCGGGAAAAAGTCGAACCAGTTCTGGCCCTGGCGGCGGTGCGAGATCGTCATCACCGTGTTGAATGCTTGCCGGTAGTAGGGCTCCCCTGCCAGGAAATCAAAGTAGTGCGATTTCGTCCTGGTGGCGTATTGGAAGGGGCCGTCGAGGACGTTGTTTGGGTTCTGCCAGCCTTTTTCTTGGAAGTAGGCTGGGAGTTGGGTGAGGACCATGAGGAAGTGCGTGATTTGGGGTTTGGTTTATCTTTAGTGGACGGCAAGGGACGGGGGGGAGAGAGAGAAAGAACATACACATGGATGACGGTGGCGGAGAGAGGCGAGCTGGAGATGTAGGCGGCTGCCAGCGGGGTGGAAGCATACACGTCTTTCTCAATCTCATTGAAGGTTCCCCGTGCGGATAGGAAGCGCATGATGCGCGCTGTGTAATAGAGTTCTTTTGTCAGTCTTTAGTTGAATATGATGACGATGATGCTTGTGATCTCTTCTGGTTATTACCGTACAGAGACGGACTAATCACTTACACACGAGAAGAGGATCGGCTTTGCTCATCTCAGCCAGCTGCGATAGAGTCACTGTCCCTCCACCGGAGGACTTGGTATACTGCGCTACCGCATCAAAGAGCTTCATATCAATGCCCAACCGTAATGCTATGGCTGGATAACCCTGCAGCAGATAACCACGTAAGTGAGGAGTACTTTACAGCAGTTCCAGCCTCTGAGAAAGAAAGAAAGAAAGCATGCCGCAAAGATGGTCCGTAAGGTGAATTCAAACGGGGATTCCAATTTCTTCCGGAGTCGATCACACGCTTGGAGGAGACGCTTCCGGTCTGCCTCATTCACCTGGAGGTCTGTTGTAGAGGCTGCAACAGCCTCGATCTGGCTGGTCAGATCCGTGAAATTGACAGAGGACATCCTGATTATCGGGATGATGGGGATGCCTGTTCAATGCTTGTAAGAAATGGTGAATGAAGGGTCAGTTTAAAGGATAACAACCTCCACTGGATTTTTGTGTTGTATAGGGCAATGAGTGAATAAATTGAATAGAAGAGTACACTCTCCAATGCTAATAATAGAGTTTCCGTATTGATATTGAAGGTCCCAACCCTGCTATTTAATCTTTGGGCTTATTTCGATACTATAGTCATCCCCATAGATTGTGAGCTCCCACGGCAAATAATCACCCAGCCCGAGATAGGCCGTGCCATTCCCATCGAAAACGCTTAATTGCGGGTTCTTTTCTCTGGTTCATGGCTGGGGAAATCTTTCTCTGCTCCAGTACACATCTGGTGAAAGAGGGCGCTTGATACCATAATGTCACTGATATTTGTGTTTTGATCGGGGGAAGCGGAAGGCGCTGCGGCTAGTGGGGTTAGCGCCGGGATATTGTGGATCCAGTAGTGTCCGAAGTGGGTAAGACATCAACACCAGGTATTTTTGGTATTGTGGTCCATGGTAATTTCACGTACGGACTGATTGAAAGAGTTTCAAACACACACATTGCCCAACCCACGAAGACATTTTCGACAGCCCTTCATACTGTATCATTTTATTTATCTTTCTTTTTGAAACATTCAGAAGAGAAGGAAAAGGCCCATCTTCGATAGATACACGCGAGAATTTACCCCCTGGTGGAATTCCACGACACAGCACCATCACCCTCGGTAGAATGGTTCCAAACCGCGGCTCAGCGGGGTCGGGTGCCCTTGGATGTCGTTTCTTGTGCGGAGACGATCATGCACGTCGGATTTGGGGAGCGGACTTGGTCCTGGTCCGACCTGATGGCTTCGTTTCATGGCACGGAAATGAGGTGCGGGATGCGGACACTCTCCTTGACATTCTCTCTCAGGCGGTAGGAGATGACTATAAGGATGTTTATATATTCAAACCGGACATGATATTCAAGGTGCCCAAGGAATTACTTCTACAAGCAAATTGTAGATGCCAGCCACTCCCTTCTCGCCTCGGTCTTGCTACAAAACCCGTCTAAAAATTGTATAATCCTCTTTGAATACATGTACAGAATGACTACTCTCTTCTTTGAAACACGAATCTAGAGAGTGAACCTTCCCATGAATGGCACCTCCCTTAAACATAAGCCACCAAGCCGACGGCAGCCAAAGCCGATGAGCCGACGACCGCCCATGCGATCTTGATAAACTGAGACTTACTGCCAAGCGTGTATCCGGTGGAGGAGACAACATACCGGATGCCATTAAAGAGATGGAAGGTGAAGGGCCAGGCGACAAAGAACTTGAGGACGACCTTGGCGGCCACCGGCAGAGAGCCAAGGGCCGCGACGAGGGCGGCCGAGGACAGATCCCAGCCGAGCCAGGGGGCCACCAGGTAGGAGGTGCCGAAGAGATACAGGCCGCCGGCGAGGAGAAGTCCCGTGTTTCGCTCCATGGCGGAGCTGACCGAGTGAACCTGCCATTTATAGATGGACAGATGGGGCGCCACGGGCCGCCGGAGGCGTTGGCGGGCGAGTTCTTCCTGGGCGGATTCGGGCTTGATCACTCTCAGTGGTGTCGTGACGGGCTTTGTCGTCTGCATCCTGGAGGGAGAGTCGGGTCGGTCAATACATATCTCCCAATAACAACATGTTATTCTGAATCTTCTACATGTCATACCGAACTTGTTGTTGCCACGCCAGACCCATGATAGGCGTAATAGGCGGGGATGCTACTGCAGCGCGGCGTAGACCGATCATAAACAATGCTGGGAACTGTTTGTCAGCTGACATCGAACATAACGGAGGGGGGGAGCGGATGATACAACGGAAGACTCACTCTTCTGCATCAACATCACATTTTTTTGGATGGAACCCGCCATGGTGGATGAGACGTGGATTCTTCACGAGGAACAGACAGAGCCAGAGGGAGAGTTGGGGAAGGAAAGAAAGGAAGGGAAAAAGAGAGAGAGAGCAATTGCAGAGAGAGACAGCCTAGCGTTGTTTGACCCCTACTAACGTGAATTGTCCGGTCTTGTCACGGTTCGACCGAGACCTTCCATTACAGGTACGTAGGTACTAGGTAATTTGTGTATTCCTAAATGTGATACACAAGTTTGACCCCAGCCACTTCGCCTTTGTGCAGGTGTCCAAGCCGCCAATCATGCTCTCAGCTCTCCAATCTGGGTTGCTCGACACTCGATGCGCTCAGGAGCTGCGACGGCGAACTATTTATACAAAACCAGCAAAACTTTTTTTACCATGATTACCTCCCTCCGCACTGATGCCGCTGCTACCACACATACTATCTGCCTAGAGCCTATCCAGCATGCTTAGAGAAGGTTGATATTTATATATATAATATATAGTAATTATAGTTATTTTCATCTATATCTAAAATATTAATTTAATATATCGAGGGTTAAATAGGTAGTAGTTAAGAATTACTCTTAAGTGGTCATTAAAGGTCAATATGTATGTATATATATTACCACTACTTTTATACTAATTATTAAGAGACATTGCTTTTCCCTCATAACGCTGTAACCATAAGATATTAAATTACTAGTGTCGATATCGATTGCCACCTAGTAGGGATATTGAATCATCATCTAGTATTGATATTCCTACTATATGGTATACATGCTGTTCATAGTTATTGTAGAGGAGTTTCATCGAGGGGAGATCGGTGATGCAGTCGAACGCGAAAGCTCAGCATGTCCTGGGTGAATTCCCGGATATCGTGGCCCAGCCATCTGACCCGGCGGGAACTCCGGGGCGAGCACGTTGTGATGGGGATTAGGCCGGAGCTGTGACGGTCAGCGATTTTCTTACTGAATATAATGTACTGTGCTGTACAGGTGTAGACTCACCGTCGCAGCATCTGAATCGCCAATGTGTCCCTAGCCGTTCCTCCTCCATACACCAACACATACCGTGACCCATCGGGGACACCACTATTCTTGTCATCCTGCAGGGGCAAACCCCAGGTATGGTACAATGCCATGGCGACGGTGTACAGCCCCGCGCCTATGAATGATGGTAAGGCGGAACGAGCCCAGTTCCCATCAATTCTGGGGCGGCCCAATCCCAAATCGCAAGCTTCTGGACCTCGAATGTCTCTATCGGAAGGAGAGCTTCTGCTACTCTGGGAGCGAGTCCTGCCCCTTTCCATGGTCTCCGTGCTTCCACTCGATCCCGACTCTGACTTCTTCATGCACGGTGGCAATTCGATCCTCCTCATGAACCTGCAGGGCGCAATCAAGCAAGGCATGGGTGTTACTCTGGCAACCAACAAGCTCTACCAAGCTAGCACAATACGACAAATGGCCTCCTTGATAGCCGCACAGGCAAATGAACAGTTGCCAGAGCTGAACCAAATTGATTGGAGGCCGAAACTATCATTTCGGAAATCCTGGTCAAGGAAGCGCCGCGAGGGCGTGGTGGCTATATTGTAGTATCTGCTAGTCAGAGCTAGGCGCATGAAGTCCTTCTACTCAGAGCTTTTGGTTTCCTCGGCAGTGCTATCTTACAAGCCCTAGAGCGAGACCCGAGTGTGAAGACTATCCACTGCATTGCCGTCCGGATCAGACACATGGAGCGACATTCGCAGACCCGCAAGGTGGTCTGCTATGCTGGCAACCTAGTGGAGTCCTCACTAGGTCTGGCAGAGGGCGAAAGCGAGCGGTTACGATCATCAGTCAGCATCATAATTCACGCGGGGGGTATGGTCATTGCCTGAATAACTACTCTTCTCTCCGCGCGCCCAATCTCCAGTCGACGCAGTTTCTGACCGAGCCGGCTCTATCGCGAGCGATTCCGGTGTTTCGCCTCCTCGAACCGTTTGAGTCTGTTGTCCGGCCACACTGCAACTCCGGCCACCTCTGTATCGGCTCATCCACCCCGGACGGACGGGTCAGAAGGCTACACCGCTACGAGTTAGGCCAGCGAGTGTTTCCTCGAGAAAGTGTCTCACCAGACGGGCCTGCCGGTCTTTGTGTGCATCGGCCGTGCGCTCTCAAGGGCGATCGGGCCGCGAGTGTAGATGCGCTGAATGCCGTAGTACGCTACTCGCTCCTGGCACGCTTGGTGCCGCTCTTCGACAATTCTGAGGGATTCTTGGGCTTTCGCGATGTGCATGAAGTTGCTACGGAGGGTGGTAGGCCAGGCTCTTCATAACCGTCCTCAGCCCTCGGACCGGGCGGCCGAAGAAGATGTCCAGACGATCTCGTTCGTTCATCAGTCTAGTGGAGTGAAAGTGCCCGTCTACCAGTTCCGCCAACATTTGGAGCGCCTGTATGGTGAGGAGTTCCAGGACGTCAGTGTCCTAGAATGGATTGAGAGGGCTCGGGCAGCTGGGCATCTGCCCTTGATTACTACCTATCTCAAGGCTATGGTGGACAAAGGAGCAACCATTCAGTTTCCCTAGTTGGGCGAGGATTAGATCTAACTAGCATCATGTTTCATTCGTGACCAAGCTTGATTCAACTCTGATTCTTTGTTGTCTGTATACCGATCCGTAAATTCAAACGATATTGCAAATAAATCTTGTTGATTCAAGATTTTCGAACCGGCAATGTCAGCCACAACGACAGTACTACCACTACCACTTGGATAAATGTAAACTCGCACTGCAACCGGATCAGCCTCGATTTCCCGGATTTGAGGCTCTTCTGGATTCCAAGCTCTTGATCCTGGTTTCATGACAGAAGCAATATCCCGACTCCGCGGGCCTAGACCGGATTATTCGGTAGGATTTGCTCCCAATTTCCCGGCCATTCTGGGTGAGATTGAATCATCCCACACATCCTATATTATATGCTTTATACCGCGGCAAGGGGACTTGAAACGGTTTGGCAAGTCCTTTTATTTTTAATTAAATTTGAATGTACGAATTCATCCAATGAGTTCACCGACTTTCTCCTATTTGAATCGCCCATGACGATCGCAGGCAGTGGAACGGTCACAGCGAGAGGCCCGAGAACGGAAAGTGAAGACATCCCCAGCGGCCAGAATGTGAATCCGTAGAAGCGTCAATCCCGACGCTTTCCTTCTCTCTGGGATCAATATTGTTCCAAATCTCATACATCGATATGAGTTGACTATGGATCCCCCATTTCCCATCACCCTCGATTATACCCTCCACGATCACTACCCAGCCGATGCGGAAGATGGCTTGAACACCGTCCTGGTCTACTACCCTCTACAGTTCGAGCACAACCGTGAGGATAAATCAACGAAGTTTGCCTACGGGTACAAAGTGGACGAAGAGGATGAAGACTCCACGTTGTCCTTAACGATGGCCGCCAATTTGGTACCACAACGATACGCTTTCTCCGCCGGCAGGATGCATCTGGTTATTCTGGACGTTATTGCACAAAGGAAATTGAACAGCGAATGTAAAGGGGATCCTCTCGCGGATGCGGATGATTCTGTGTCCGCACATCACCTTGATATCTATCAAACGTTCGCCCAGTTACAGCCCGACCAGCGGCCAATCTTGAGTTTTGCAAATAGTCCGGAGAGTATAGAGTTAGGCTTGAACACGAGGTGTTCTACTGCCTACTGACTGCCAATCGCATTTGCCACACCTTATCTGTCCAGAGACTCACCCTGAGATCCTGTCAAAAAGTGGGCTGTGTCCGGATTACCAACGCCGCCGTCTCGGGTGACTGGCACCATGCTTGTCGACTACGAGGATCCTAGTGTACTTGCCCTAGAGACTGCCCGGATGACGGGGTCAATCGAGCAACGTCAAGTCCCGTTCATGTTCAAACCCCCCAGTCGATTTCAGGGATGGGCAACTTCGCCGTGACCTCCGAAACTGACCGAACGCGGACAAAAGCCATGCTCACAACCCAGCTAGGAGTCACGCTACGACAACTCAACCAAACAAACCGGCAGCTTCATCCCTGCTCGATGGCCTTGCAAGACTTTGTTGACGGACCTGTGGTGGCTCTGTCATGGTTAGTCACGAAGACCGGTAACCCATATTCATTGCCTGCTGCGAGCAATTATTCAACAACTGCTTGCATTGGATCGGCGGGAGCATCTCGTACCGGCAGCTGACAGGGTCTTGAATGACGTTTCCGCGCTCATGGGCAAAGTGGCTGCGTTTGCATCGCAAAGGGTATCATGGCCCGGCGCGCGTGGATATTGTCACCGATCAACACAGCGGGGAGGAGTCGGTTATTGATCTGAATGTTCGGGTTACTAGTACGTTCCATTTAGGTCCACTCACTGGACATTTCACTCGGCGTGGGCTCTTCGAGGCTGCTATGACTAGCGGCACTTCTTTTGTACGCGAGACGTATTCGAGGAAGTCTTTTCGGAGGAGATTCGACTTGGCAGTCTGATTGCTAGTGGCTGGGTACATAACAAGTCACAAACAAAAAGCCATGCTGCGATTACCGTTGGGCTAGGGATTATGATAGTTTGCAGGAGTACCCTGGGCGGGTTAGGGCTGTAGCTCTACAGAATTAGTTTGTGTGTATATAACGTCTTTTTTTTTAATGCTGACCCGGTTCCCCTCCAAACCAGAGGTAAATAAATCCTACTTATAGCTTCTATTACTATAGCTATATCCCTAGGTGTATTATAAAGACACAGGCTTCTGCGTGGCTTCAGGCATCACTGACCGCAGAAACTGTTCTAAACTCTCCACATCATCTATACCCGAAAGAAAAGCCAGATGCTGATCAGGTCGCAGTAACGCCATACACCCCTTGTCCCCAATCCCAAAAGACGAGTACAGCTTCCCTCCGCCGGCATGGTGGTAAGCTTCGCCATCCGCCCAAACCCTGCCATAGTCCACCCCGTCTTTTGTCCAAGGACGGAAGACCGTCGGCAGGTCGTTCAGCTCGATGCTAAGTCTATCCGCACAGTGAATGAGATACACACCCAAAGCCGGAAACCCACGCCGCGCCACGGAGACCGGGTCATTCAGCTTCTTGAACGCTGAATCCGGGGAATTGAGGGCATCTGCGAGGTCTTCGACGCGGCGCTTCTGATCCGTGCCCGCAATGTCACCGCCGAAAACGATCAGATTCCATTGCCCTGTACCGGGAAGGATCTGCTGCAGGTGGCAAGCTTGCGAGTCGCTTTGGTTAACGATCAGCACGCTGGGAATGCGCGCCCCAACTCGGATATTCCGCGCCACAGATGGTCTGCTGCAGCAGGACGCCACGTCTTTGGGCAAAGACGTATCCCAAACTGTCGATGTGACCAGAGAATTGGGTTGATAGATCACAGCGAGTCCTGACATTGTGGAATTCTCTTCCTCGAGCGCCTGCTTGTGGTCCTCGTCGAAGCGGCCATGTTGGGCCTTTGGGTCCCCATTCCGCTGGCTGCACATCCCTCGGCAGATTCGCTGGTCTAATGCAATTAGTCGTTCGGCGACGGGCAGCCGTTCTTGTTGGTATGTCTCGAGGATACGTGGGTGTAATACACCCTTGCTGACTGACGCGATTTTCCAGCCGAGATTAAACGTGTCTTGCATGCTGACGTTCATCCCTTGTCCTGCTTTCGGGGAATGCGTGTGGATGGCGTCTCCTGCGAGGAATATGCGGTTATGTAGACTAATCTTTCGGCAGATCCGTTGACCGACCTGGTTGTTGTTAACTTGGGTGTTCAGGTAGAGCGTCGAAAGAGGAAAGGAAGGGGTGAGCTGACGGTATATATCGTTGACCAGTCAATGTGACTTGTTCTCATGGTATATGGCTGCATGATGATTGTGACCTGCTCCATGAGCACGTCGGCATTGTGTTCTGCGCGATATCTGTCGGCCGAGCTGGGCGGAAGCTCAACGTAGACGCGCACCAGCTTTCTCTCCCGTGGAATCATCATAAGAGTTCCGTACTTTGACTTGATAATGAATCGTTTGCGGATGTCGGCTAGATGATCGGCTTGGATTAGCAATGCCAACGGCGATTCTTGATCTGGCTAAACTTACGAAAATCCGTCAAGGGGATGATATCCAGAACACCCCAAGAATCGTCATAGGTTTCGCCCTCAAGTCTCAACCCAAGTTGCTTCCTGAGCCAGCTATGAGCTCCATCGCAGCCCAGAATGTACTTGGCTTCAACCATTGTCCCCATGTCTGCGTATCCGGAGTCATCCGATTGAGCCTCACTGAGCTCGCTGCTCGGAGCACTCACGCCATCAAACGGAGTATTGGGGTCGGATGGCACATTCTCCAGATTGACGCGGATTGGAAACGCATCGTGGTCGTCGATCGTCGTATAATCGATCTCGAACGATGTGGGGATTGTCTCCCGCTTCACTTCGACGTGCTTTCGAGCCCGCACATATTCCATGATATATTCTTCTATTTGGCCTTGGCCGAGTGTGGACTCATGGAACCGGGACCATCCGGGCTTGGAATTCGCGGTGACGCTCTGCCTTTGTAGCTTACCATCGGCTGTGGTGCCCTGGACACGACAGAGGTTGAGTCAGTGGAATTGCTATCGAAGACAACTTGAAGGATCCTACCCATAATGCAATCTCCACGGTGTGGTTCGCTCGGGCCCAGACTTTATCCGCGAGGCCGAAACTGTCCAGGATTTCTAGCGTTCGACTCTCCAGTCCGTCCGCTCGACCGCATCGCGTCTGATGCGACTTCTGATCAATTATTATGGTGTTCACTCCCATCTGGGCCATCCAGGCGGCGGCCATCAACCTTTTCACCGACAATTAGTCCATGCTGTCATTTATTTAGTTTCGGAAAGGAAGGAGGACGTTGATAGAGCAACATACCCGGACGGACCGGCCCCGACGATCAAGACGTCGGTCCGGACTGTATCGCCCATGGCGATGTGATTGATTTCAGCGGTGTTTAGGGAATTAAAGAACGTAGACTCATGTTTATGGCAAGCAACCAGAATGCAATCGAGTGCACATTAGTACTGACGTGCAGTGCGGAACATGGTACCCCATGATGCGGCTAGTCTGGTCTGCGTCATGATCAGACGTTTCTTTCTGGCTCAATCAAGACTGTCCAATTACCGCATTCAAAAGATGCTTGAGACATTCTGGTCGGCGATGAAATGGGGGGTTGAGGCATCCTAGTTGTAGACAAAATGGGGTTGGGTGGGACCACGTTACATCCGAAGCCCTAAGGTGATGGTGTCATAAAGTTACTGCCTTTCCTTACACAGAGTGGGCCAGATGATGACCGTAGGACAAACCTCCCCAACAACAAGTTCACTTGCGAAGTGGGGTCCAGATCTCATACGACACCAACTACGCCATGCCCTTCTGGTAGAGCATGTATAGATTTACTCATCGAGTATTAGAAAAAGAAAAGCAGCATTCGACGCACTTTTGGTTTCCGTCTTGCTTTGTACACAAAGGCGATGAACTGTGGTTGGACTATATATAAGTACATATCCAAAGTGATTCAAATCCAATCACTAATCCGTAAACACATTCTCCTGAAGAACAAATGTGTCACGATTAGGAATGGCTTCGTTTTCTAGGCTTCTTCAGGAATGCTCTATTACACTTGGCCTTCACGTCGGTCAGTTGAATTGTCAAGTAAGTAAACAAGTGAATTCTACTCGCAGCTAGTACTAATGTCCGTAGGGCCTTTTGAGCCCATAGATATTAGGGTTTGGGCTACCTAAACACCGTACTTGTTGCTCGATAAGCCGATCTGAATAAGGAATGATAGCAACTTTCACATCGCTCCTACAGAATGAATCTGTCTAGTTCATCTTTGTCACCATACTACCCATCTTCCAAGCATCACCCGTAGCCATATTGGTGGTTCGAGTAGTCGAAAGCCCAGCTCTCCACAGCCCCAATGACACAAACTCGCCATGCATGCTGTGATATGTGCCCACCCGACGAGTTCGCTGGACCCCAATTTCCTCATCTAAGAACATATCCCCTTCAGCCTGTTCCACGAACGGCTGGATTATGTACACCGTCCGATCAGGGGTCAGCGCGGGGTTCTTCATGTCCGCGAGGATCGCCTCCCACTCGGAAGTGCTCAGTTCTTGACCGAAAATAATTCCTTGTCCCCGGCCTGACCGAATGGGTTTCAGAATGAAGTCGTTCTTGGATACATTGTCTTGATAATGCGAGTCAGTGAGCTGTTCTAGCTCCTTTGACCCAGGGATGATGGTGAATACGACTCGTTTCCGGAGGAGGTCAGCCTGCCTTTGAGTCAAGACATGGTGTTTGGTGACTAGATCGTCTAACTCCTGGTGCAGGATTCCTAGGATTCGCTTGTCGTGGATCAGAAATATGGACCGGATGTCATTGTTGCTGTTGAACGCCAACTGCCGCTGCATCTCAGGAGAAAGTAAGGCGAACTCGCCGAGAAAAAGCCGGAGCGCTATCTGGTGAATATCCTCCATGTTACCAGCCTGATTGTCGGCAGACGTGGCCGACTCTCTCACGCACTGGAGTTTATACCCCGTCGGTGACGTCTCGTCCGCCACAAGATGTAGATCATCGGGCGTCAGTAGGCGCGGCTTCATATCCCCTAGATCTCTCATCAAGGCCTCGATCAACGGGTTATTCTCTCGATTGTGAACAAATCGAAGAGGCCATTCTGGATGAAAGAGAGCTTTCAGACGGGCCATCAGGTGCTCCGGGTCCCCTGCCACATCAAGATCAAGGGGCTTGGTTTCCGAATTGTCTAGTGCCTTATACACCCGCGCGTTCAGGTCCAAGCCGTTGGACGGGAACCGAGCATTGATTTCGCAGACTTTGAACCCGTCTGCTTCGTTGGCCGGAAGTAAGAAGTCGGGTCGCCAATTGCCTTGATGACCGTCATATGTGGGAAATAATTTATCTTCGGTGATTTTGTGTATCCACTATCCCAAGATTGTCATTAATACTGAGACAAACTTATAAACGAAAGCAGAGCAAGGATCATACTCTTAGCAAGTCCTCCTCGTGTCTTTCCAGCGGCATCCGCGATGGTAAGGCCGCCTCCTCATCGACAACCCATCTTTGCACGATATTCGTCAAGGCAGCCGAAAGTGCGGTATGAAACTCCTTCAATGATGCCATGAACCTACTGGAAACCACAACTGGGTGCGGACACATGTATTTCAAAGAGTACGGGAGTACGTGCTCCCCTCCCAGATAGCGAACGAGGGCCGAGCAAAAGACATCCTCGCTGCGCTTCCTATCTTCATAAGACGCACTAGTTGCTGACGATGGAATGCCGGCTTTCCTCGACGCCTCCAGACAAATCTGGGGCATGTGGAGGAGCGGATCGTTACTGCTCATGGTGGATGTAAGTTGATGAACGGCCGTGCAGAGGTGGTAAAATTGATTTCCAATTGCATTGAAACTCATTGGCCGTTTTTCTACTATATCTTACTCCAGAGATCCGCTTCGCTCATTGACAGTCTGTGCAATGGGTGTCTCAGAGGAATCTGGTCAGTGTCTGGCGGAATGGGATGTATGACACCTCGACTTTCCGCTTGGCGAGGTATCCAGCATTCCTGCGACCATAATATATGGATCCCACCCACTGTGGGCTGTAAGTGACTACGCTTTCGTCGCGCCGACCCTTTCACTGGAACTTTAAATCAATAACAAATTTAGATTGGAGACTGGAACGCTACGACGCTATCGCGTATCTATGAGCAGTCGAAACTCTGTGATGTCGGATTCGATTTCGGCGACATTAGAAGATGTATCCTAGAACCGCAGATCCCCTACCTTTGTGTTATAGACCCAAAGCGCCTTCATCAACACAGCGGGCGATTAAATATATCCAAATTTTCGTTCTGATGTTTCTTCTCTGTCCATATTACTACCCACCGTGCCTGCGACAGTCTCCCATAATCCTGCAAAATGGGAAGCCTTGTTAACACGCCTAACCACCAGCAAGTCTGCTGGTCAGTCACCGAAGCGATTGGTCGACCAGTCCCAGCGATCGACGCGAAAAAGGGAGATCGAAGCAGCGAGGCAGAAGCTTACCGAGAATTAATCCCGTTAATACATCAACCTGGGTATAACCCAAAGGACGAGATCCTTTCACCTCATCCCATCCTGACCGATAAAAGCTTTCTCCTGCTTATGAGATATACCCACGACGCGCTTGTCAAGGCCGTCGTCAATATTGTGGATCGATGGTGGTCCGACACTGATGCCAACTTTCCGGCTAGAATGCCTTTGGAAGCGCCCGTGGAGGCAGCGCTACAGGTGGGTGACATAATTCCGTGTCTCTGAACGAGGGGATTGACCATGTTAACCAATAATGTAGTGGATAGACGAGCAAAGCCGGAATCAAATGCTCCCAGAATTCAAGGACAGCCTTGGAAACTGGAGACCTGATTTCCTCGTCACCGGGAATGATAGTACCATGGGCCCTGGGTTCCAGATCTGCGAAATCAACAGCCGCACGCCTGATAATGTGGTCCTTTGCAGCGCACACAAACACCGCAAGATGCGCCAATTGATGGGACCCAGCTCTGTTCTGCAGCCCGCAGGAGACTTTGACGATTGGGAAGACAGCTTGCTTCGCCTATTCCGTACACACCTGCCGATTCATATCCTTCGAGGAAGAGACAATCTCGAGCGACAGGAATTCGTGCGGATGGTGGAACTGAGGACTGGTATCTGCCCACGATTTGTGAACGTAGACAATTTGGAGCTGAAGCACGATCAGTCTTCTGCTACGGGTTATTCGCTCTATTGCCGAGACCAGGGCACATCTGAAAAGATACATCAGGTTGTCTCGACCCTGTTTCCGGACGAGTTCAGTCTGCTTTCGCAAGACATGCTTCAGAAGCTGGCGACGGTGGTCGTAAACGATCTCCGGATTTCCTTACTCGTAAACGACGAGCGATTCCTAGGCATTATATTACAAGAACTCAACTCTTGTGTCACCAAACATGGCATCTTAACTCCAGACGAAGCCAATGCTCTCCAACAAGGCATAGTACCTACACTGCTACCCGGATCTCCAGAACTCAAGCAGTGGATCGAAAGAAATAACCAAGGCGAAGTGACCAAGGACAACTATATCTTAAAAGCCGCTCGCCAAAGCCGTGGAAGGGGTCACTTACTCGGTGCGGATCTCTCCCCCCAAGAATGGGCGAGTATCATGTTGGACATGCAAGATCCGAGTATCCGTCCAGGGGTTACATCCTATGTCCTCCAGCCGTTTGTACGACAAGTCAAATTCGATATTATCGGCGATGAAGACAAAAAGATCCATGGTAGCCTCATGGTCGGGTGTTATTATACCACCAATGGTCGCTTCCTTGGTCTTGGGCCATGGCGTTCAAGTACGGGGAAAATCTGCAATGTCTACGGCAGCTTTGGGTGTGTGGGTTTGTATTCGGTTACTCAAGCCAATGTGGAGGGGTGAAGGACAGTAATAAACAGTATACATGGAAAGGCATGAACAGAAATAACATCCCTCCAGATGTCCGATGATCGTCTTGATGGAGCCCACCAAAAGCCGATCCGATGGCCCCGATCCAGTCTGTCCTCCGTCAGGGAAGAAGGCATCAAGAATGGCTTTGGCCTCGACCGGCTCCATAGGAAACGTCCCTGTCCCATGGCACTCGAAATATTGGCACCGGTCTATATAGGGATCCAGTCCAGCTCAGTAGTAAGTCTGCCGGGTCAGTGCGGTCTAGGCTGCCGCAGTGAGCATGTAATCCCCTTGATTCATCCATCCGAGTTGACCCTTGCATGAGATTGGTGGGCTACGTGGTCTCTCACTCATCTACATAAGATCATGTGATCCGCGATCCGCGAGGCTTCCTTTTCTGGGCATTGCCAACAGGATGCATAATACCTTATTACAGGTTGAAGGGCTGTGATCAGTAGGTAGTCATGTAGGAGGTGCATTTACAAAATCACGAAGACCTACTCACATTAAGATACTGCCTGCGCAGCTTGATATTGTGAGGTACAAGAGTATAAGACGTAAGTATACAATCTAGGCCGCTCCCAATGCGTAGGCATATCCAATTTAGGTCCATTCACACATTCCTGTGAACCTTCATCGTCTTGATACCTGCAATGTAGAGCTTTATCTGTACGTGTATTCAAAGAGGATTATACAATTTCTAGACAGGTTTTGTAGCAAGACCGAGGCGAGAAGTGAGTGGCTGGCATCCACTATTTGCTTTAAGTATTTTTTTGGGCACCTTGGAATATCATGTCCGGTTTGAAGATATAAGTATTCTTATAGCCACCTCTTTACGCCTGAGAGAGAATGTCGAGGGCAGTGTCCGCATCGCGCACCTCATTTCCGTGCGATGAAACAACAGCCCGGGTACGTCGAAGGCACGTATCGGCGTGCATCGCTGCGCTAGTATCCGAGTTAACAATGTCAGCGTCCAACTGTAGCGTCGCCGACAGGCCCATCAGATTCTTCATATGGCGTTGAGACCATTGCACACTGGCGCCGGGCCACTTCGGTTGTCTGAACTCTTTCAATCAGTCCATACGTGAAATTACTGCGGACCACAATACCGAAAATACGTCGTGTGATGTGGTCCTCCCCACTCCAGACACTTGAGGATCCACAATATCCCGGCGCTAACCCTACCTGCCGCAGCGGATGCTGCCTTCCGCTTCGGCCCGTTCAAAACACGAATACAGGCGGGACATTACAGTATCAGCGCACCTCTTTCACCAAATATATTCTGGAGCAGGGAAAGATTTTCCCAGCCACGAACCGGAGAAAAGAACCCGCAATTGAGCGTTTTGAACGGGAACGGCACGGCCTATCTCAGACAGGGTCTGGAATCAGCACCAGATACCGTCAATAAGTCTACAAGCAGTATATTTGATGTAAGTATAAGGGAACTAAGGAGTAGTGTCCTCATGTAAAGCACCACCGACAATAACCAGCGCACCGCCGACAAGGTACTACGGCATATAGCACACCACTGTGCTCATCGCAGCCCCGTTGAGCAGATTCAAAACCCAGGGGGGATGATGAAAGGGAGAAGACGGACACCAGCTTCAAGGGCCCCATCTCCTGTCACAAATTGAAAGAATAGAGGAACGAAATAGAACTGTATAAAGGACGATGTTCCCGCAGCAGCTGTTTTAATGAAGAGAATAACCCTCTCTTTATCTTTGAATTACTGGAGGGGAAATATCCTCCGTTGATAAGTGGTAAGAATAATGAAGTGTTGCTGAAGGAGAATAGGAATACCGAGGGCTCCAGAGCGGATTAACATAGAAGAATGTGCGCGTTGATTCAGGCGTATACTAAGCCGCCAAATGCAATCGCCATGATGCCGGAAATAAGGACCCCGATAAAGAGAGTCGTACCTATCAAAGTAAATTTGGGCAAGCCGCCTTTAAGTAGACGCCTGGAGGAGGATAGATGCTAGGAATCATAAACAGAAATAAAAGGGCGAAAGACCGCCAATGCGAAGGTCGATATAAGAGGCCCAGCGGCATGTCCCCGTGCTGTCACTTAAAACGCCTCCTATTATAGAGCCAAGACAGAGAAAAAGTCATACGAAGCCGTAGAGGTGAAGTCTGATAAACATTCCTACACTGTGCCCACCCCAGACGATTCCAATCATTCCCAGATACATGGATCGCTCAGTTAGAGTCGTCAAGTTGGACAGAAGGGTCATCACTCCAAGATATATGCCGGCACCACCAAGACCACAAATCGCACGACTGACACTAATGCAGTCATGCTTAGAGGGGATTCACACAGAGCCGACCCGATCCCGAAAAATGGCTGTTGTGATGATGCAAAGCCATGTGCAATTGTACTAGCCATACCCTTTGCTCCTGTGCAGTAATTAGCTTCTTTGCAGCTTGGAAGATGTTTCAAGTTGACCCTACCAGGCCAATAGTGCATTTTCCTGCAAGACATGCCGACAAGAGGTGGTTAAATGACTCACTTGGCTCATTCGGGCGCTCCTCGTGGTCAGGAAGAGGCCTAATGCAATGATCATTATAGTCTCCGTTTCGAGACATTTCTCGCGGCTACCCAGAAGATGAATTTTGACAAGTCCGAGGGACCAGACGGGAGAAGGAACAATAAACCTGGTAAGAGGAGCATTGAGCTGTCCCGAGTCTAGGTACAGGCTACGAGCGGACAGATTTGGAATTGTAGGTTTAATACGTTATGTACAATCATTGGTGGCTCTCTACGTAGAACTTAGTCTCGAATGCCCACCCGGGAGTATGTTGTTCAACAGTCGATCTGCAGCCTCGGTACGGGGAACATGCCCGTGGCGTTCTTTGCGTGGTATCGGGATTTTCGTTTTCCGATATTCATTGCCCTGGTCTTGCAAGCCTTCCAACTGTGGGACTTTGTACTTTCCCTGGTCCCTCCAGCTTAGCCAGCCGTACTCCCAAAATTGCTTCAACTCAAGCTGCTTGGATACTGATTATTGTTTTTTCAAGTAAATAAATGACAAGAATCATCATTTGCACTAAATGTGTTATTCTTTAGAGCTTGAGGCCTACAACCACTTTCTTCAAAGAAAGCGCCCTGTATACTCGTCAGAGGGATCAGATCCAGTTTATTCATGTGTGAGTATGGAGATAATGACGGCTAATCATAAGTCTCGTACAAGAGGAACAGCCTGATGATGATGACTTAAAAGAGGCTTTTTCCGGCACCGACATGGCTTAAGCTAGAAAGATAAGAAATCAAACCGAGATGGTAGAAGTACGCAAATGATCCTGATGTAGATTTGCCAACGCCTTCCAATGCATCACTTGATAGTCCGTCGACTCTGTATTAATGTAGATTACGTCATGCTGGTTCGAAAACCCATTGAACTGAGTCGCCGTTGCTGTGGTGTAGGCTTCCAGGGATAGTCAGTCTTAGGTTCTATACTGGACAGCCTAGCATGCAAGGACTCACCACCCATATTCTTGTACTTGAGCCAATCTCCTATGCGGATCTCTGAGTTCATGGGCACATCTTTTGCTACACAATCCACGCTGTCGCAAGTGGGGCCCCAGATCGTGTATCGATGCTCCTCGAGTTTCCGCCGAGTATCATTGCCGTGGCTGTGAAATGGCCAAGTGTACGCGACCAAGGATGGCCGCACAATTTCCTTCTCAATCAGTACGTTCATAAAACTTCCATATACCCCGTCATTCTGGTAGAGCATGTCTGGCTTATTGTGATCATCCGTACCGATGTGACGCCGTCTGGACAGAACCTTGCACGCGAGGGTGTAGGCACTGCGAGCATAATAACGACCCGGCTCGGCAATCAAGCGGACCCCAGAGGGAAACTCTTCTTTGAGAATCGGTCGCAGAGAACATGCAATATCTTCCATGTTACAGTCCTGGAACCCTCCACCAATGTCTAGAAGTTTCATGTCAAACCCCAAGCTCTTGCCATATCCGAACACAATCTTGGCATGCCGGATGGCGTTCACATAGGCTGATGTATTGAAGGCCCCGGTCCCTGAAAGGAGATGGTGAATACGTTGAGAAACAATGGCCCTGCGGAAGCAACGTACCAACATGAAAACTCACCCCGCACACATCTAACCCTAGTTCACGTGCTCGTTGCAATAGAGGTAACGAGGTCTCAACTGTGGCACCGAACTTCTCTCCCAGGTTTATCAAAGCATCACTATCGCTGGCAAAAATTCGCAGGACAAGTTGTGCATTTGGTAGGAAGGCTCGGATGCCATCCAGCTCATCAAGGTTGTCAAAAGTTGTTCGCGTCACACCTGTTCGAGCCGCAAAAACCAAGGAGGAGGCAGATTTACAGGGGTTGGCGAAGATGATGCGGCATGGATCGACCCCTAGACTAAGAACTGTACGTAGCTCCTCTATCGAGGCGCAATCAAAGCCTGTGCCCAGGTCTGCTAGAAGTTTGAGTAGATTAGGATCGGGGTTGCATTTCACCGCTGCAGCCGCCGACAATTAGCATCAAGACGAGGGATGTCAGAACCTTGGATGGAAGGGGGCACCCACCAAAAAAAGGGTGCACGTCTGGCAGGTTTACCCTCCATCGGCGATGCTGGCGGATGACCTGACCCAGATCCGCGACAAAAAAGGGCTCGTCAGCAATGCCCCAACCACGACTGCTCAAACTAAACAGACGGGTTTGAATCGCCAAATCAATCAACCGCTCTGTCGAGTCCATTACTTCGCAGTGAATTCTGGCGCAAAACTGGTGTACCATGGTCGGTAGCGATGGTCACCTTTCTTATGGCAGTACATGCTGACCCATCGTTCATGCACAGACCGTGAAGTCGCTGAATCCCATTACGACATGTATGAACGAAATGAGGCATAGAACTGTGGCGGTTCAGCACTTGCAACCCAGGCTGATCGGGCGCCCAGAGTGAATGTACAAATCACACATACGAGGGTTCAGCCAGCCACTGTGTCTCAATCGTATTTTTG